AGTTTTCTTTGTATATATATATGTAGTTTTTAAAATTAAGTTTGGAAGTTTTAATATATTTTTCTGACCTGTTCTCTTTATTTTATCCTATTGAAACTCTATAAAGACACATATATTAAATTGAGAATGTTCCCCATACCCCATGGTCATCCTTCCTTTAGTTGAATTTTCTCTTTGCGTTTCAATTTGAATGATTTCTGTTTACATCTGTTTAACCTCCTGGATACACTCTTTAGTGTCTGGCTTACTGTTAATTCTAACTAGTAAATACTTTAATTTTAGGTCCTGTAATTTTCAGGCCTCTGATTTCTGTTCATTCTTGTATTCTTTGTATTGCTTTTACATTTTCCGAATCACTGTCTCCCCATTTCTTTACCTCCTTTTGTCATCATGTCTTGTATATTCTGACATACACATTTTTAAAACCTTATGTGATGATTTCAAACTTTGAATTATTTGTAAATATATTTACTAATTTTTCTATTGACTTTAGTTCATATGTTCTGGATTCTGTTGTATTTCTCTAGAATATTAAGTTTTAATAGTCAGTGCTTTACTCCTTCCTCTCTTCCCTGTAGATTGGTCTATTTTACATTAACCTTGGGATATAGTATTCCTTCCTAGAGCAAAGACTTTCTGGAATCTCAGTGGAAACTCTGAGGCACTTTTTGAGTCTTCTTAATTTAATGGATTTAAAAACCCTGTCCCCCTGCAATTCTGGCAGCATCTGAAATATCTACAAATCTTTGCAGCTTTAAATTATTATTTTACTTTTGGAACCTTGAGAGTCACATGATCATTTCTGAAGTTACCCAATGATTCAGAGGGAGTAATGAATATGTATATGTATGTGTGTGTGTGTCTGTGTGTGTGTATATATATATAGTCTCTATTCTCCTCCTTTAGAATTGTATGCCTGCTTATCTGTTACAGCAGTCCAAAGTCTATTCTGTGCTTTGTTAGACAATTAAGGCTGGGGTTTTTTGCTTGCACCATTTGGAATGCAAAGCCTTTAGGAAAGAGTAACTCAAACACAAAATCTTCCTCAGGATGATTCTTGAAGAGTCAGTTTTCCTCCAGTTTCTGCTAGCTTTTGGTCCATCCTTCAGTTCCTTTAAATGAATAAATCAGTATCTCTGTCTGTCTGTCTGTCTGTCTATCATATCTGTTATCTCTCTGCACACTCCCTGCATGCATGGTGTGTGTGTGTGTGTGTGTTTTCTCTCCAGATATCTCTAGTATATATAATTTTAATCAACAGTTTATAGTTACCCATAGGAAGTTTATCCTTTTTACACTGTTCTGCCATTATTAGAAGTAGAATTCTCCTTAAAATGGACATGTAACATAAAAAATCTTTCTTTGATCACTAAGATTTATTTTTAACCCAGGAATATTCCTGTGTCTTTATATTCTGACTTATGAACACCCACCAACTTGCATGAGGCCATCATCATGGAGAACTTTCACGAGAATGGTTACAGCTTCCCCTACTTCCATTCTGCCTACCAGCAAAATAACGATTAATATTTCTGAACCACAGCCCTGGACCTGGCACTCTGTTAGCAGGAGTCAGCAGTGACATTCCAATGCCTGATGAATAAAATCTGAGTTTCTTACTGTGCCATTCAAGACCAGCTCTCTGGTCTGCTGCATCCTGGTTGTCTGCCCTATGTTTTCTTGTCTTGTCTTTTTTTTTTTTTTTTTTTTTTTTTTTTTTGTACCAGGAATTGAACTCACAGCCTCACGATTGCCAGGCAAATGCATGAGCCACTGAGCTAAATGCCTAGTCCAGCCCTATGTTTTCACAAAGGAAATCATTTACAGTACAAAGTCTTAAGTTGTGACTTCTTTCGGGTTAACTATATTAATACTGAGAGAACATAAAGTTTAAGAGTCGGGATCAAAAGTTTAAGTCTTCTTGGTGCATTCTTGCTTTCGCTGTTTCTATTGTTACTGTTTTCATGTGGATAGAGAGATGAGACACGTTACACATTCGTAAAGGTGAAATTTAAATCTTTAATGTGTGCATAACTAAAACCAAGAATGACACAATGGTCTGAAATCTGTTATGACAGTTATAGTCAGCTCTTGCAATTCTTGTATACTCTATGTGGAAGAAGTAATATTGGACTGGGAAGAAAATCATTCTGAAACTGTTACCATAATGCAGATTTTTAAAAGATATTCATTATAAAAATGCTTATAAAACTATCCCAGCTTTTCTGTGTCCCTATTTTTAAATGTCCAGAGAAGAAAATAATCCAGCATGTACCTAACATGGGGAAAAAACCTTTTGCACACTCTTGTATGTCTGTCACCTAAAAAATTAATTCACAGAAGTGGAGAAAACTTTACACTACATCTGACTCTAATCCCTTATACAAATACTTTCTAGCTTTGCACACATAAGAAGTTTCCCATAAATACTTGGTGAATTGAAATACTTTAAAATTACATTTAGTTATTTCTTTTGACTTCAAAGTTATTCAAATTATTGTGAGTTATAGAAGAAATCTGTGGTTTGGTATTCAGTCTTACACCATGCAAAAGACATATACTGCTGGTTATCAATAGAAATTCTGCCTGATGAAATAAGTGCACTTCACTTAAAGAATATTCCTTTGCTTCTTATTTCCAAAAAGCACTTTCAGTACCCTATGAGACTACCAGTAAATTATACTACAAATTGCTCTTTAGGAAAACCTGTTGGGCATAAGTTACAGCAATATTATCAGACTTTCTTAATTCTGCTTCCATTTCTACATTTTTGAAAAGTCAGTTTATCAGTTCTAGCTTGAGTTTCTTTTTGTGAACAATAGTGATAAATAGTAATTGCCTAATCAATGTTGTAGATAGAGCTCTAATAGGGCTTTTAATTTTTACTTTAAAAATTCTGAGATGTTATGCAGCATCACGAAATATTACATTAATCCATTACTGTTTTTGTGTGCGTATTGATTGCCTGTGTGTAATTACCGACACCTGCCTATATTCATTAAGGACCTTCAGTTTTTCAAAAACACATGAAGTTACCCGATACGGTTTAGCTTGTTCATGTTAATAGATTCCCCAGTTTTTTATTTTATTATTATTTTAATCTTATGACTAAGATTTACTATAATGTTGCTGAGGATGTGCTTCGGATAAGTTACTTTAATTACATCGATTGATGTACATTGTTTTTATTGGCCAGTCACTATAATTAGTAATTCTCAACAAGGGTTCATGCTGGCCCTGGGCCAATGGGAGGAGCCTAACTCATTGATTGTATTACACCAGTGAGTCTTCTCCTTGGATTTGCATATACTCAGTGATCCCAGACTCGGTCTCCAGACCTCTTATCTTTGCAGCCTGCATTCACCTACCAGGTGATGGCACCACATCTTATAACTTACAATTCGAACCCGAAGCTGATTGCATAATTAGACCACACATCATCCTCACCCCAGACTAAATATGTGATACTGAGATCTCCACTTGGGTCCCTGTCAGGCATCACAGTCTTAACGTGTTATGTTCCAGACCAATCTGGGGTCATTTCCCACAAACCACAAAATCTTCTCATCTTCCCTATTTTAACTCATGGAAGTTCCATTTTTCTAGTTGTTCAACCCAAGTATCTTAATGTCTCTTCCGTTTCCTTTTTCCCCTTCAGCAGCAAATCCTGGTAATCCTACCTGCTGAATAGTCTGGGATTTAACTACATCTCACCATCATGCTGGCCTAACCCACTTTCATCTCTCCCCTTTATTATAACAATCACTCCATGGCCCTAGCCTCTGTGTGGCTACCCTTAGTCCACCACAATCAGTTTCCAACACAGGAGCCAGAATGATACTGCATAGTATGAATCATATCAAATGGCTTCTCTGCTCCAAGCCCTCTAGCCTAATGGCTTCCTCTCTCTCAGAGGAACAGACAAAATCTCCACTGTGACCTTTAAGGTCCTGCAGTCTGCATCATGTTAGCTCTGCACCTCCATCTCTGCCTACTCTGAGCTCATTCTCTTCTGCTCATTCATGCTGGTATCCTTATTATTCCTAAAATAGGCTAAATAGCTCCTAGCTCATACAGTATCTCATTTGCTTTTCCATTTTCCTGGCATATTTTCTGCCCTGGATGATCACAGAATTAGACTGAAGGACCTTTAGACTTTCATTTTAAAAATCACCTTCCTGTGAATTTCTTCCCATACACACTAAAATTTCAAAACTTGATGTAAACACTGGACTGTGTTCCCTTTGCTTCATTTTTCTCTCTAGCACTTAATTACTGTCTAACATTTTCTGTGTTTTATATATTGTCTGTTTCCACTAGTTGAATGAAAATTAACAAGAGCAGAAACACTGGATCTACGTCCATTGTTAGATCTATAGTGTTTCTGCTAGTACCTAACGCTTACTAGAGATCCAGTGAGTAATTTTGAATAAATACATGTGAATAGTAGATCTAGGGTACACTTTCATGTTTTGCCAGTAGGTGCTACCCTCTAAGCCTGTTCTGCGTCCACATTTTACATATGTTTAGTTCTAGATGACAGTTTAGCTCTAGATGAGAGTTTAACTCTCAGAGAGTTAAAACATTTCCAGCCCTCTGACTCAGAAGTCTTCCTGGTGAAATCACATGTTCAGTAGTGGGTAGGCATTCAGCCTAAAGAGTTGAGGAAAGGTCCTTTTTAAATTAGTTCTGTTGTGATGTTGAGGGATATTTGCACTGTTACCTGAATCCATGCAGGTATCGGTAAAACCTCAATGTGGGGAAGTGGCTATTATACAAGAATGTGTTTGGAAATCAGTGTATTGTTATCATAGGTGCACTGAATTCTCAGCTGCATTGAGTTAACCACTTGTCCATATTACCCATAAATAATATTTATCTTCTGTTTTAAAGAACAGTTGTCTAAGTAACTGGGTACGTCAATCCTCAGTATACCTATTAATTCATACTTTATACTAGTGTGCTTGTCATTTTAACAATTGTTTCTATTATTAAATCAGGACAACACAACTATTTATGTGCTGGAAGAAATGATTGCATCATTGATAAGATTCGACGAAAGAATTGTCCAGCCTGCCGACTTCAGAAATGTCTTCAAGCTGGAATGAACTTGGGAGGTGAGTTCTATAATTTTACTATCATATAAAAATTGCTAATAAGAAATTATGACACCATTTGGATATGTATACTCTTCAAACTGGAGATGAAGTAACATAGTGAAAGGTTTTTTAAAAAATCTAATCAAGTCCTATTTTCATGCCAGAACATTTCAGGAGGATAGTGTCGCTTAGTTGGAATTAAAAGATGTGTTGTATACAGTAGTGCTTGCGAATTTTTCAAGCCTGGGTTTGCAAAGTTTCAAGAACTGGGCATTCAACCAAAACCAAAACAAAAACGAATTGACTTTTTTATATAAAATTGTAGCCAACCGTTTTTATTGTTATATCCATTGAGAAATAAGACCTAGACATGGTAACATTAAGCAGATAGGAATATATTCTTAATTCCAGGGGTAGCATTTGTGAAAGAGAATTTAAGATACCACATGAAGAAAGGGAGAAGTTGTTCTAGAAGAACAACTAGAACCAAGTGAAAAGTGTACAGTGTTCATGGATGGGGAGCACTGATGTCTGAGTTTACCCTGTTAGTTTACAGATATAACATAGTGCTAAGAAAAATGCCAATTAATTATTCTAAGTTTCTATAGAACAACCAGAAAAATTCTGGAAACGAAAATAATACAGGGATCTGGCCCTACCAGACATAAAACATATTATACAGCTAGTAGAATTGAAATAGTGCCTCATATGTTTGATTGTCAGACATATCAACAGGAAGTCAATACATAGATCCAAATGATTTGAGAATTTTTATATAATCTGGCATTTCAAATCAGGGATTTGACAATTACTCAATGACACACATTATAACAACTGTGTCGCCATCTGGAACAAGAAAGCTGCATCAAATTCTTGCTGCTCACCAAAATAAATATTAATCTTCAGAGATTGAAACTTCAAAAAACAATCACAGAAGTACTAAAAGAAAACATAAATTTTTAGATAACTCTGAGGAGACCTTTCCAAGTACAAAATAAAACCACAAGAAATAAAAGCAAAAAACTGAGAAAACTATCACTATTTGCAAGTCAGATATTGTTGCATATATAATAAGAAACTGGAAAGAAATACTTGCAACTTATAGACAAAAGTTAATTTTCTTGTAAGGAGCTCTTACAACTCCATAAGAGAAAGAAGCCAACCCATTAGAAAAATGAATAAATATTAAAACAACATTCACAGCTAAAAAAATGAGGTTCGTGAAAAATTCCTAAACTAATTATACTAAGAGAAATTTAAAATGTATTGAGATACACGTGGGATAATGAGATTTTACCAATGAGGAAAAATAAAATATTTTTATGATCTTACTTAATGAAAATATAGAAGTAACAGCAAATTGAGTTGCAATCTGATACATTCTAGTAGGGAATATCAATACATACATTAAACACATAAATGTATTAATCTGTTCAACAATGATGAATTACAAAATACTTCAACATTAATAAAAATAAGGGAAGTCTGTACATGTACTCACATGGACTGCCCTCCCAAATACTGTTTAGCAAAGGACCAGCAAGTTGCAAATATATAAAATATTATGCTACGTGTTTGAGAAAAGAACCCATTGTACAGAAGATTTTGGTGTTTGTCTCAGTAGAAAGGAGTTGGGTAGCTGGAAGACAAGGGTAGGAACTCTGAGTGTCAGCACACATCCTTCTGTGCCTTGTACCGGAAGTGTGTATTACTGTACGCATTTTACCTATGTAAAAGGAATAAAGTAGTTTTTTAAAATGAGAATTCAGTTGCTTTGCTTTGGGGAGTGAATCAGCTGGCTGATGAGTCAGGACGAGGGAGTAAACAAGGCTGCCTGAGAACAGAGTGATTAGTCCGGAAGTCTGGAAGAGGGTGACCATGGCCAGGAAAGAGTGGGATACTGAGGGCTCATCCCAGGTTGCCTTGAGCAGCAGCTACGAGAGATGTGAAACGTGGGCCGAGTAAGAGAGCAGTCTGTGGAGAGGGAGCCCTCGCTGTGCCACTTGCCGACCTTGTCACGCAAGCCCTTTGCCCCTTCCCTCATGTCGCTCTTGCGTTGGCCCCTGCTCATGGCAGGATTAAATGAGTAGGTGATGAAAAAAAGCTCACTGCGCAGTGCATATTGCTTGGTGTTGGTTGTGACAGTCAGCTTTCCACGGCAGCAACAAATTATCAGCTTTACCAAGAGAGAGGAGGTTTGTTTTTGCTGACAGTTGTGGAGGTTTCCATCCATACTAGATTGGCCCCATTGCTTTTGAACCTGTGGTGGGACAGCACATCGTGGCATCAGTGTGCACGAGACTGTTTACTTCATGCCCAGTACACAAAAGAGAGGAAGAGGAGAGAGCCGGAGACCCAGTGTTCCCTTCAAGAGCATACAGTCTGTGGGCAGAAGTCCTCCCACTAGTGCCCCTCCCCCCCTCCCCCCATTTACAGGTTACACACCATCTCCCCAAAAGCACTTTGGGCCGAGGGCCAACCCTGTAACAGATGGGCCTTTGGGAGATGCTTGCCCAAACCAGAGGAGCGATGAGGAGAGTAAAGAGGGCACTTTCTCTATGCTGCAGGTGTGGCCTGGGGTATGTCCTCTTTGCAGCTCCCCTAAGATTCTCACATTTTATCTTATTTAGCCATCCGCTGAGCTTCCAGGAAATTTACTCTTTCCCCCAGCTTTGGTGGCAGTGAGCCTGTAGTCCACAGAGAAGTTAAATGACTTGTCCAGAGGTGGCACAGGCACTGAGATAATGAAGCTGGCTCTTACAGCTCCAGGCTCCTGGGCTGAAATGTGCAGCTCATCACAGATGTGATACAGAAGATCAGCTTTTGTAGCATGCATATAGGGATCAAAAAAGATTAGCAACAATTTAAAACCTAGAAATGGTATGAGGGTGGCACCATTGATTGGAAAGTGACTCAGTCTAGTTTGTCAAATCCATCACCTGATTTTTTAAAGTAGCACATATACTACCAAGATACTTTTCAAAAGGTCTCTGCATAATCAATACTTTATAAGTGTTATCTGGCAGGTATTTACATGTAATATATAAATATTACTGTAAATATGTATGTGCATAGTATTATGACTACAATCCACAAAACATAATGACCATGCTGCTTAGGGTTGTTGGATTGATTCAGTAACCTTCAGAAGATAGTTTTCAACCTCTGCACTGTTGACATTTTGGAATGATTTGTTTTCCCTTTCTTTCTTTTTTGTTTTTTAAGAGAACCGACCTGTAAATGGCGGGGTGTCAGTCACATTAACTCCTAAGCAGTCTCCCCCAGATGCCAGCAGCAAGCCTCTCTCCCCCACTAATGACAATAAAAATATCCCCCAATTTGCTAAACATCCTCTGAAGGCATTGAGTCCTGTTGGCTTGTTAGCTATCATAATAATACCAGCCACCGTCTAAGTGTTACGTGTTACTTTTCTTCCAGGTTATAAATTCCACCAAGGGAGGAATTTGTGTCCAGTTTTTTCCTTGCTCTATTTGCAGTGGCTGTAACCATGCCTGGCATACTGGTGTTCATAGCTACTTGTTGAACCAATGAGCAAGTGACATTTTGCAGGGCTCCGTAGGTTCCGAGCACTGTAAGAATGAAAGAAACCTTCTTTCCGCCCACTGAAGGGTTCATAATTCGAATCTATAAAGTAAACTGGCAGCAGGCAAATTAGCAGGAGAAAGGGATCCAGGTTTATTAAGGGCAGGCACACAGGAGTCCCGGAAAGAGTGAGACTCACAGAAAGCTTGACAGGAGGAACTTAATTATGCTGCTCACAGGGAGGGGAACAGGGGAATTGGGTGGTTTTATGGGAAGGGTAAATAATTTCTGGAGCAATGAATGGACTCAAAGGATAGACAGTACCCTGGAACAAAATTTGTTTGGGTCGGGGTTATGATGTTTGACTTTCAGTCTTTTCTGTGATATGAGTTCACTCTTCCTTGGCCTGTGGAGACTCAGGGAGGGGAGAGAAGACAGCTCTGGGGTTTTTTGGTGGATCTGATCTTTAGGTAGAGAGGAGGATTTCAAAACAGGCCACACATCCTAGGAGTGGCTGTTCCTAGCAACAAAGCCTACATCCGATGCAGCTCAGCTGTGTGGTCAGTCCATGAGTGTAGAGTGGCCCAGCTGGCCCCTGACATAGCTGTGGCACACAGGTGTTCACTGCGTGTCTGCAGTGACCTGTATGTGAGGGTTGGCACAGCACCTGAAGGTTTAGTTGTGGGCTTCTGTGTACACAGAGTAGGTTTTGTGGTTTTTGGTAAAATACGTGACTCAGGAACACCTACTTTTTTTTTTTTTTTCTTTTTCCTTTTTATTGGTACCAGGGATTGAACTCGCGACTGCCTGCTTACAAGGCAGGCACTTATGCCGCTGAGCTAAATCCCCAGCCCCTAGGAACACCTACTTTGAATCTTGAGTTCACTGAAGCCAAGGGGTAGAGCACATACGGACGTTTGTGAGGTTATATTTTCTTTAGGTTTAAGTTATAGTTTAAGCACGCATCTTGTTCATGAATTAAATAGTTAACTTTGATTGTCCAGTCTCTGTAATACACATTGGAATTATTTTCTTTTACGGTTTCTCTTGAAGCCTTGGTTTTAGCTTCCATTGGTGGAGAAGAAACAGAAGCAATGTATTGTGTTAGAAAAAAAGATAACAGAATGCTTAACCTTTAATGTGAAGCAACTTCTAGAATATAAAATGTGAATTAAATTAGAAGCTCCCAAGATGTATGCTAGCCTTGCCGCCGTTTTCCTAGAAAAGCAAGGCTGATCGGGGTTCTGAGCACCAGTATCTTCACTCTGGGGACATGGGGTGGTGGCAACGTGACATAATACAGCTTCAAAGACCTGCCTGTGAGTAAGTGCTCATGACTCTGGAAACAAAATCCAAAACTGTGGAGTAAGTTTTCTCCCTGTGCTATCGATTGTCATTCCTGCAAGCCGAGCCATGTTCCCAGGACCTGTTCTACCTCAGGAAATGGAAAGAAGGAAGGAAAAAAGGAAGAGAGG